CACCGCAAGGTTTAGTGCCGCATGCATATCCATTCAAGACTTCCACCATCACGGATCGCGGTCGGCACAAATCGAACAGGGATCAAACAGAGATTCGCCTGCAGTGCTACAATTAAGCGATCGGCCTGTTCTCATACTTTTCCACCGCCTTGGCTCCTTCGGTGGCTGCGTGCTTGGAGAGTTCTCCGGGCAACAAAAGTCTGACGCTCGTCTGCATTTCTCGAGAGCTCAAAGTCCGTTTCTTATTATACTGGATTAGCTTGACCGCTTCCGTTGCCAGGCGTTCGAAAATATCGTTGATGAAGGAATTCATGATAGCCATGGATTTCCGCGACATACCGAGCTTTGGCTGCACTTGTCGCAGCACCTTGTAGATGTAGATGCTAAAAGTTTCACCACGACGGCGGCGCTTTTTGTTCTTGTCCAGGTGGTGAGAAGGCAGCTTATTGGCTGCCGTCTTCTTAGCCAGCTGCTGTTTACCGCCTTTACCGCTCATTTCTCTGTTAGCACACGCGTGTGCAAGCTCTAGAAATTTTTTATTCCCCGCCCATCGCGGCTTTACAGGCGATAATGCGGGATTAAGGCTGCTAAGTCTAAGATTCTGGCTCTGGATGTTCGAACAGGCGTCGAAAACGGTGTGTGCAGGCCTCGGCCTGTCATGGTCTACCGTTATGACAGAGTACAATTGCCAAAGCAGCGATGGAGCAGATTAGCGATGGGGTAGGTTGGCAGTATCCAAAGAAAAACGTGGCAAGAGGAGTCGGGGAGCCAGAGCGGGTTGGAATCGGGGAGCTGGAGCAGAGCGGGTTGGTGTAGGTGTGGCGGGTTAGTATTTTATAGAGACAAAACACCGCGGATTCAAATTTTTTTTTGTGTAGTCCGAGGCTGTTAGAAGAATGAAGAGAGGACGTGGCGGTATGGCAGGGCAGAAGGCCCGTATTACTCGCGGTTTGAACGTGGGTGCGTTGATAAATTGTTGTGACAATTCTGGTGCTAAGAACCTGTATGTGATTGCGGTCCATGGCACTGGTGCTCGTCTGAATCGTCTTCCTTCGGCTTCCAT